ATATCCACCCCTTGGTGCTCACACGACCTTATGCAGTTGCGATTGCTGTAAAAACCTTTACTCAAACTAAATTGAAACAGAACTGCTGGCCTCATAAATTTTGTTTCAGTAAGAGTTTAACGGCACTTTGAACACAATAAGGTCACATAGGTGCCGAAGAATAGATTGTGTTTTTTGTTTTAGAAGAGGTTTTACGGCGCTCGCAACTGCATAAGGTCATTTGATTGTGTGTTACAAGAGAGTAACAAACACAACAAAAAAGGAGGGGAGATAAGGACGACAGATGTTTGATAGGAAAGAAGGAGCACACCACACTAGAGCACCCACAAAACCACCCACTCGCCTCATAAATGACCCAAAACTGTGTTGAATCGGGCATATTTATTAAAACAATCTAAGAAGAAGCACACCACACCAGAGCACCCGTCAACCACCCACCCCCTCATAAATGACCCAAAAACTGTGTTGAATCGGGCATATTAAAATTTATTAAAACAATTTTGGATTGGAAATCCTCTCACCTTGACGTCCCCGAATCCGGACTGTCGTTTGAGCGTGCGCGACATGTTCATGCGGCAGAAGAAGGACACGTCATCCGGGTCACAGGGGTCAGGCTGGCCAGCAGCCATGAGCTGTGCCTGGACCGTGTCCTGGTCCCGCTTGTCCACGATGTCGTACAGGCTGTCGCCCTGGGTCTTCATGTCCACCTGGGGGCGGGACACAACACGCACATGGTTAGCGTATTTTTAATTTTTTGGTAAGAGTTCTACGGCACTTGCAACACAATAAGGTCATATAAGTGCCGAAGAGTAGTAGACAAGTTACAAGAAGGTAAAATACACAAAAAAGAAGGGGGAGAGCAAACCACACCGGAGCACCCGCCAACCACACACTAATGATTAGTATATGAGGCGGGGGTAGGTGGGGAGAGACACACACAACACACACGTGGTTAGTGTATGCGGCGGGGGAGGGAGCGGGGGGCACAACACAACCCACAAATGATTAGTATATTTTTAAATTTTTGTAAGAGTTTTACAACACTTGCAAAACAATAAGTTCATATATATAAGTGCCGAAGATTACAGGTGTTACAAGATAGTAACAAACATTAAAGAAAGGAGGGCATCAGGACGATAGATGTTTGATAGGAAAGAGGGAGCAAACCACACCAGAACACCCGCCAACAACCCACTGGTCAAGTCAATGTTTCCTCACGCACAAACAGACAGACTCAAACGAGGACAAACAAAGAGGCACACACAAGGAAAAAAAAAGGGGGGGGGGGGGAGAGAACAACTCACCATGGAGTGGCCCAGGAAGTCGGTGACGTTCTCTGAGATGTAGAGTAGCTTCCCCTCTCGTGTGGTCACCAAGAGGAACCCGGTCAATGCCTGCGGAAGGACCAGAAGGAAAAACTCATGAACATCTTGATCCAAGGGGGTTTCTTTCTTTTTTTTCGGTTAAAATTTTATTTTTTTAAGTTTCAGTAAGTATTATGGCACTCCTACACAATAAGGTCATATTATAAGTACCGAAGACTAGAGGTGTTACAAGAGAATAACAAACAAAAAAAAAGGAGGGGAGACAGAGACGATAGATTTTTTAAAGGAAAGGAGCAAACCACACCAGAGCACATGCCAATCACCCACATAAACATCTTGATCCATTTTCCCCTTTTGTTTGTTTTTTCAAAAAGTTTTCTTTCAGATGGGTTTTTGTTTTGCTTATATATATATA